GTTTGAACCGACAGTCTGCTAGGATTGCAGGGTTCGTGTGAGCATAGTCGACCGCCTTTTCTCTGGGGTATAGCGGACTCTGGGCAATGTGGTGATGGCTTAACCCTGAGCGAAATGCATCCTGGGTAGCATGTGGGGGGCATACTGTCGGGGCTCAACCTCCTGATGAGTCGGTGAACTTCCGATCAAACAGTCTCTGTGGGGCACAGTGACTCTTGTTTTGAGGAGTCGTATGAACATGACAACACACACACAGTGTCACACATACAGACGCAAACACAGACTAATGGAAAATGATAGAGACAAGGAACAATGGATCGGCAAATTCTCTGCACATGTTTTACAATTTAGCATTTGAAGTAGAAAAAATCCCTCTCTCTGTCTGCTGTGTTAGTGCCTGCCTCCGCACATGTCGTACAGTTCAGCACCTCTCTCTCTCTCTCTCTCTCTCTCTCTCTCTCTCTCTCTCTCTCTCTCTCTCTCTCTCCGAAGGATTGATACCACCCAGCAAGCTGAGCCCTCCGCCTATGGGATCGGAAGCCGACAGGCAATCCACATTAACGCTCTCTCTCTCTCTCTCTCTCTCTCGCTTCTGGTAGAAGTCAAGATGACAGTCATCTTCTGGCGATCCGAATGAGAGGGCCATCATGATAACCCTGATGCCCCCGACGAGCTGAGCCCTCTGCCTATCAGAACGGAAGCCGACAGCCAATCCAAATTAACGCATAACGGCTTCTGAGAGTCTAACGAAAGAGAGGCACAAGCCAGGCCGTCTTCCCTCCCTCCCCCCCCCCGAGGCCTCTTTTCCAAAAACCCCATCCGCTGTTGTGTTACAATGAGTACAACGTATATACTCTATGCTTTACTACGTTCTATATTCTACAGATAGACTATATACGGATAAAAACCAGACGCCAAAACAAAAAAAAAACACAGAAGATGCCCATTTGCGCGAGCTACGGTCGACAGTGGACAAGATCTTCCGTAGCTGGAAGTTTATACTCTGTACCAAAAAACATCGGTTACGCCTTTCTACAACCGTCCTTTCAAAAATAAGAAGGGAAAAAAAAAACGACGTCCGTATCTTTGTTCCGTCAGAAAAGACCAGCCAGCGTGTCCTTCCACTACTTTCTTTTTTTTTTTTTTTGGTGAAAAGCCCACAATTCAGCGAAACGGTCCCCTCCCTTTAGAAAACTCTGCCCCTTTTCTTCTCTTCCCCCCCCTTCCCTCCCTCCCTCCCTCCCTCCCTCCCTCCCCACCAATTCAAAACCCCCCTCCCTTCTCCCTCTGCTAAAATAATCGTCAGAACCTTGGCACGTACTACCGCTCAGTGCCCACAACCAATAGAATGATACACGGAATCGGGTCCAGAAATGGCCCATCAATAGAATGATGCATTGAATCGGGTCCAGAAATGGTCCATCATCAGCTGGAGAAAAGGGGTCTAACAATCCTGATCAGAACTGCCAAGCTTCTCCTCCTCCGCCAGCCATCAGGCACGCCAGCCTGTCTACCGTCCGATTCATGTTACAATCTCTAATCTTATACACTCCCAGTCCTTACTCTCCTTCTTATCTAATTCTTCCTCTTATTCATCTCTGGATTTGCTATTCATTTTCGCGGAAGATCATGCTAATCAATGAATAGTCGAGGTAATCAATGACACGTCGGCAATCCCGATGATACACGGGGATCGGGTCCGCTCACAGACTCGTTCAAGTTTAGGCGACCCTATCTAGCTAGCTGGGATTGGGATCTGACGCGACCGGCGACGTCAATGGCGGCGATACCGTCGCGGAAGGATCCATATCAAATCAACTATCGGGATCGCGACCGATTGGAAACTCGTTCAAGTGAGGCGATGCGATCGAGCTAGTTGTGATTAGGATCTGAGCCGACCGGCGACATCAATGGCGATGCCGTCGTCGCGAACGGATCCGTATCCCGCTTTGTCCCGATCGGAGAGGGCAACGGCGATGGGCTGCTCTTTGGCGCATACCGCGACAAGGTCCTTGTTAATCGGACGCTCTTGGCAGCTTGATTGATGAGAGAGTCCTCATCAACGAGCATCAGAAGAGGAGAGCTGCCGAGGCCATCTGCGATTGCCAGCAAGATGTTCTTGATGCTCTCGCAGAACTCGTCCCTGTCGACAACGCCATTGGCATCGATGTCGAACTTGGCAAAAATTTCGTCGTAGAAGGCATTGAGCTCGTCGTCGGGCAACTTCACAGGCTCTCCCATCTGCATGTCCAAAAGGTTGAGCTTCTCGATCGCAGGTCTGATCTCCGCCTTTGTCAGAAACTTGTTAGAGTTCTTGTCCAGAGAGTCAAACATGTCGTTGACTCGCCATGTAAACACATCTTGCTGTACAAATGATCGGATCATAGATCCATCAACCAGCACCAAACTCATCCTCTCTCTCTTTCTCTCTCTCTCTCTCTCTCTCTCTCTCTCGCACACACACACACACACACACACACACACACACACACACACACACACACGCACACGCACGCAAAGACTCCACACACACACACACACAAGACTAGAAACACACACACACACACAAAACACTCGAAACACACACACACACACAAAAACACACACACACACACACACTACGACTTGAAGCACACACGCACACACACACACACTACGACTTGAAGCACACACGCACACACACACACACACACACACACACACACTACGACTTGAAGCACACACGCACACACACGAATAGGGAGGCTCTGCCCAGCGAAAACGCACGAAGTTCCCGTCTGTGTATATATGTCTCTGTCTCCCTCGCAACACGTACTAGGCAAACAAGGAGGAAGAGACACAGAGACAGAGCTCAAGCACACGATGGCAGCGAGGCCGAGCAAAGGGCACTCTCACTCTGCACTCTCTATGCGTGTCGCTGTCTCTTCTTCTACTCTCACCATGTGAACACAGACGGACACAAGGTAGGGGATAGAGAGGACAAAAAAGAATTCACATAAAATCAGGTACTCGGCGACGGCAACGCGGCCGAGCAGACTTCACAACTGAATCACCAGCAGTCGAAGTTCCCGTCGTCGCCGTCGCTACGTGGAGCAGCTAACAACGCACCATACGGTTGTTCGCCCTCCCTTCTTATAAACAGAGACGACACCTTTCCACGTCGGCAGTTTGTACTCCGCTTCACCATAGACAGACAGTTCTTTTTTTTTTCTTCTTTTTTTTTTTTTCCGCAACTTCGTCGTCCGTTACTTGCTCTTTCTTTCTTTGGGTCACAAAAGCAGAGCTTACGACAGCAGGCAGCGACACAGACGTCGCCGTTGTCTGCCCTCCTCCTCACTTATTACGGGCCTGCCCCTCTCTAGCTGTACACACGTTGGCGCGCAGTGGTCTCTACAACGTTCGGGTCCGCTCATCCATTCCATAGGCACGGAGGCACGGAGGCACGGAGGCACGGAGGTACGGCGGTGATCTCTGCTATGTACTGTCTTATTTACCTCTAATATACTTCTCAGAAAGGCCCGTCCGGTCTACCTGTAGATACCTGCTGACCCACGAAAAAGAAGACTCGGTCCTTCGGCACATTCGTTAACAATTGGAGCGATGCAGAGTTCGGGCCTCGCTCCACTGCTGTGTGGCGAGCCTCTAGGGGCCTCGTTTCACTACTCTTTTTTTTTTTTTTTTTTTTAACTACACTATGTTCTTCTCTCAAATTCTTCTTTGCCTTTCACTACCTAAGAGTCTAAGACTATAGAGAAGGGATGCGCAAAACGAAAGTGAATTTTTGCTAAAACACGGAAAGATACACCGCCATGATTTTTGTCTTTCGTGCATGTCTACTCTCGAAATGTGCAAAACGAAAGTGAATTTTTTGCTAAAATACGGAAAGATACACCGACACGATTTTTGTCTTTCGTGCATGTCGACTATAGCTGAGCGTTGAACGGTTGGGAAACATGGAAAGGCTACAGTGCGGGGAGGACACGGAAAAAAAAAAAAGGACAAAAAAGATCCCGCAAAAAAAAAAGAAAAAAAAAGAAAAAGAAAAAAAACAAGGAGAAGAAAAACAGAGGGTTGGGAAAACCGACGGAGGCTTTTTTGACGCTCTACTGGCAAAATGGATAATTAAAGCCCTCTTTGACAATCTCTCCAAACTGTGGAGCCAGCTAGCGGAGTATGGGCCTCGTTCCACTGCCATCCGCCACGCATCGCATGGCAGATGCGACTTCCTTCCACTGCATACCCAATAGCCACGAAATGGATGCTGTCAGAATCTGGGCCTGAAATTGGGCCTGAAATCACTTCATACGCCACCCTTCCACTGCATAGCCAATAGCCATGAAATGGACGCTGTCAGAATTTGGGCCTGAAATTGGGCCTGAAATCACTTGGCGATGGATCACCAAGGCCTTCCAATTCCCCTGCGTGCAGCGACCCTTCATGGAGGGTGCTACTCCTCACCCCTCTGCAAAATGCTATTGACCCTGACACTGCGGTCCTGACAGTCGACCTGCGTTTTCCCACAGTGTTGGCGAGTTTTCGCTGCACCTGGAGTGATTTCCAGTCCCGAGTACATGGTGAAGAGGGTGCGGCCGAACACCGCCGCCGTTCCATTAGCCCGCCATCCGCCACAATCCAGGGAGCAGGCCGGGACAGCAGCCACAGCGCACGTGGCGGCGGTGTAATGGAACCAAGCGCCTTTTCTGCCAAAAAAATGCACTTTTCGGCCTCGCCAAGTCTCGCCACTGTTTCCGGCAGATGGCAAGTAGTGGAACGAGGCCCTATATCCTGCGGAGGGAGTGGTCCCTCTCCAATCCAGGTGATGTGTGGCCATGCTATCTGGTGCTCAGCTTCTGCAACAGGGGGATAAAATCCCGTGTCTGGCACGACATACTGTTGGCCTGGCGCAAATTATTCCCTTAACCCCTTCATATCCCAAGTACGAGGACGGAAATAGCTAATCAACTGCTGTTTGACAACAAGCTAATCTGCCTGCCCACAAGAGACTGTTTTTCTGCAGGATTAGTGGCCTCGCCAGACGGCACAAGAAACGAAATGTCATCGAACTCATGGGGCTTCGCGAGCCCCTAAATCATCGTTTCGTTTCGTTTATGGTCTCACCGCCGCACAGCACATTCGAACTGCCTCGCGGGAGCGATCTGATGAGATCTGGCATGCGCTAAGGTCCACCCCCGAACACGGTCGTGAGTTCTGGCATGCGCTAAGGTTCAAAATTTTGGACGCAGTCCGTTTAGACTGACTTCCCAGACTTGCGGTGATTCACAGCACCTCCACCGGCCATCGAGAGGACCTGTGAGTTCTCGCGTGTTGCAGGCGGGCACGGAAGGGGCACGTGCGCAGGCTCGTGAACTCGAACTCTGACAGCATCCGCTTCGTGTGGTCACTGTGCGGCGAGATGTTCACGAAACGAAGTAGTTTTTTTTCTCGTTTCGTGTACCGTCCGGCGAACCCCTAGGTAGGGGTAAGTTTGGACGGGCGTGGATTGAACGAGGAATCATACAGGTTAAACACCTGTAAGATGAGGATGAGGATGGATGGATATCAGAGGAAAAAGCTTGTTCCTTACTTCCACGTCTGAGAAGTGTTCCAGGGAATCTGGCAGCATTATTGGAGGCCATGCCCCCCCACTGGACGACTATCATGAAGAGATCTTCGCGATTCTTCAGAACAAGAGGTGGGGACTTGGCTTCGCTCTGACAAGGACTGCTCTTGTGTGTGGAGAATACTGGGTCCAGACTTGGACTCAGGAATTAAGGTGCAAGAATGGAAATTGGGAATAAGGAGTGGTCAGGGGGGGGGCTTGTCCCTGCAACAAGAAAGGATAGTAAGGGAAACAGCGGGCTTGACAGAAGTAAGAGTCCTGCAGAGTAACAAAGGGACCACACTGCCGGGGGTAGCAAGTCAGTTGAAAGTGGAACCACTGCTGCTTGGATGGCCACAGGGGCGGCAGGACGCAGGGGCCCGGGCGCAGACCCCCCTCATTCGATACAAAGCCAAGACAGGGGTAAATTTCCTCAGCTCTCAAGTCTCCCATTATGATACTCCCGTAAGCCAAGCGGCCTCCCGGTTTGCTAGGCTGAAGTCTTCAGAGGCGAACCAGCCAGGCTGGCGCCAACAATGGAGTGCACTTCGGAGAATTCCTCACAAAAGACGGCGACCTTGTTGTGGCTACAGACATTGCAGGCGGTGCCGTCAGCCCAATGGTTGGCAGCAAGGGGAATGAAATTAATGAATGTATCAACCACCTGACACTGTACCCACTGTAACTGGGGTTGGGAGTCAAACTCCCACCGCTGGGTCCATTGCCTTCTAGCAGACGAAATCTGGCAGTGGTGGGCCGAGCTTTAGAAGGACGTGGTTAACAGTATCTTCAAGTGGGCTGATGACTGGATGCTGTTCGGAGTTCTCCCCTCCACAAGGTTTAAGTACTCAGAGGGGTGGGGATACGTGACATTAGTCTGCAGGCGAGCTATCATGCAAGAAATTTGGAGAGCGAGAAACAAACAGGTCTTTAACGTAAAGGGGGAATGAACTGCTGCCCTTCAACAAAGACGAGAACTCCATTAAAGAGCATCCATGAGGCTGGGAATCCTCACAAACAACCCGGAACGACTCAAAACGGGACTGCTGGGGGAACCCAGCCAGTGTTCAGTGAGCATTCAGCTCAACGACTCAAAAAAACAAAACACTCCCAAAACAAGGGCAGCATTCTCAAACACTCCCAAAACAAGGGCAGCATTCTCTCAGGCAAATCCTTATGCTCCAGTTTCTTTTATGCAAAAAACATAGTATTACCCAAAACCCTTAACTTTCAATCATGCAGGCCACTGTGGGCATTTGCCCAATGACTCGGTTAAACCACCAGTACTTGGCCCAGCTATCGATGCCGAGCCTGGAATGCCCCTGCGCGCCAATTTTCGCTGAAGCGCCGGGTTACCGTTTCAAAAACATTTTGGCTGGCGCTACCAGACATTGTGGTCCGGTGCCCGGAAGCCCTAAAGGCGCGGCACGGCCAATAGCTGGGCCAAGTAGTGGTGGTGGTTTAACTATTCCGCAAAAGTCGGAGCCCTAGACTAACACTACTGTTTTCCTAAGCTCTACCTACAGAAGAAATGAATAAACCCAAACAAACCAACATTCTGAATCAATAGTGAATCTATAACTACTAGAATCCTCTCATTCCTCTGATAACTCAGACCGCCTACCCGGCGGTTGGAGCCTAACGTGGTTCCACTAGTTCCTAGACACTCTCGAACCCCCATCACTTCTGCCTCCTACTGTGGATAAAACCGAGTGTCCTGGTATTCCTCGCTCACTAGCCACTGGCACTCCGCATACTGCAAACCGTCCTCCCCTCTCACTGACACGAGTTTGCCTCCCTGAGCCCACATTTCCTAAAACCATCCGAGTCCAATTGACCTTCCGTTGCCTCGTACAGCCTTCCTTCTCCAGTCCGCCGATGTATTCTTCTGATCAATGCTTTGAAGGTGGACTTAATCTCTGGGTCTCGCATGATTTGGCTCTCGAGCTGGGTTCGGTTCCTCTCCTGCCAGATTACCCAGAAACCGACCGCTCGGATTGCCTGGGCTACATACCCCCACCCCTTTGTCAGGTGGAGGTTTTCTGGGACCCCTCCCAGAGTCCCAGTAAGACCCATCCCCTGTTCCACATCAGTTCCTCCCCCGTCCATTCCTTCCATTGTCTGGCCCACCACTCCCATATCCGTCTGGAGGCTGGACAGTCCCACCAAAGGTGAGTTGTTGACTCAAAAGCCCACAGACATCTTTTACATTGTGTGTCAATCTTCAGACCCCGGATTAAGAGTGACACTGCTGAGTGCACGTTTCAGCACCTCAGCACTGAATCAGATCAGAAAGGGGGGCTGCACAAAATGGGAATTGATAGAGTCTGTCAGGTCTAAGGGGAGGGGAGAGACAAGAATGACAGCCTGCAATTCCGATAGGGGGTAGAGCCCTTGCAATGACGGAGCCCCGGTAAGGGCTGGAACCACATGCAGCCCCAAGGGGATTTGGAG